TATGATGTTTTTGGCGTTATAAAACTAGCCATAAATCTGTGGTCATTTAAAATTTGTTAATAAATCAGTCCTAAACTTAACGCAAATTTTAATTACATAAAACGTGAATATAACATTTAAAATCAAGAAATACATATGTATGTACATTTTCTATTATCCAAAAACTGAGTATAAATTTGTAAATATTTAAAAGTTAAAAATTGGACATAAATTTAGCGCACCTCATTAATTTATATTGTTTTTGGTAATTTAAAAACTGCACATACATTTTTGGCAGCTCATAAATTGGACATAATGAATACGACTTAATTTTAGTATTAATAAATGAATACAAAAATTTCTCAAGCTTTTCGTCAACTTCAACCAAAACGAAAAACTGAAATTTGATGGGTTGTTTGACGCGTGAAGGTCATGGTCAATTTGACCATGTAAGGTCCCTATAAAAGATTAGCACAAATATTTGGTCATTTAAAAAACAAGAAAATTTGTTTGGCATTATAAAAACTGTTAATTTAAAAGCTGTAAAAAAATTCAGTTTGACATAGTATAATTTTTTGTCATTTAAGAGCTGGGTGTAAATTTTTAATTAAGGGTTTTGGTCTTTTAATAACTAGACATAAGTTTTTAGTTATTTTAAAAATGAATCAACAGATTTATGGCCCTATACATAAAAAATAAAGTAGCTTTAAAAAAGGTTTTTAAACTAAAAAATGTATGAAAACGTCATTTTACAAAGCTCTTTAAATCTACTTTATTTTTTTTAATAAGCCTATTAGTGTTATAATCTTTCGTTTTTGAAAAATGGCCGATAGAAAGTAGACAACGACTATTGAACGGTAAATGCTTTTCTTGTGCAGTTCCGTTCGTATTTTGTGTCAACGTTTTATAAATCTAAGATTTCATACATATTTTGTGTCACATTCATACATCCAAGCTTACAATCATTTATGTCCATTCCTTAAGTGGTAAGAAAATTAGGTGCATTTCTCAATTGCTCAAAGTTAATCCCCAGTTTTTAAGTAGCCGAAAAATTACACAGCAGTTACAGTTGCCCGGCTGAGCAGTTATAGTGGCCCGGCTGAGCAACCCATGTGCGAGATGAGATAACCAATCCGAGTGGAGCCTTGGGTCACGGCAGAAAGAGAGGGATCTTCGGTGGGGCCACTCCGACTTATTTGGTTTAAGGGCTCACTGAAGTGTGTAGCGTCTGCTCACCAGTAGGTGCGGCTGCAAGCGGGTGTCTGTCTTGGAGCAAGCGGCTCGCTATATAAACGTGTATGCGGTTGCGAAACCACCCCCACCCAGCAATGGGTTGAGCGCTGGGATTGGGACCCGCCACGTAAAAGCAGGCTCCAAAGAAAAAGGATAACATAGCCCCGGATGAGAATCAAATGATCAGAAATGTTTGTCCAATTTTTTAATGGCCAAAACTATGCCCAGAAAAAATCGTTGCCAAGTTTTTAGTGCCCTTTTAAAAATGACCAAGAAATGATGGCCAGTTTTTGAATATTAAAAATTTGGTTTCAACGAACAAAAAATTATGTCCAGTTTTTGCAATACAAATAATTTTTGCCCAGCTTTTATTTTTATTTAGTATTTAGAAGACAAAAAAATATGTCCACCCTTTTAAATCACAAAAAGCTCACATTCAGTTCTCAAATTATCAGAAATTTAGGTGGTCAAAAAATATTCCCCTCTTTTTAAGGAAGAAAAAGTTATGCAAATTTGTAAACTACCTAAAATGTAACGCAATTTTTAAATTATCAAATAAATTATGGCTTAAAATCCATGTTCAGTTTCATCATCAAAACATGTTCAGTATTTAATTATAAATGTATGTATATATGCATGTACAGGGTCCACAAGGTCCGATGGATTTCGCGGTGACCTTGGATCTGACTTTGACCTTGATTTTAAAGGTTATTTCAAGGTCAACTTTGAAATTTAAAATGAGAACCCCTATTTGCAACCTCGGAATCGGAAAGTGCGTAAAATTATATGATCAGATATGCCCTTGCTTGAGTCCTCTAGCGCCCCCAATGTAAGGGCATAACTGAACGTATAATTTCACTCTCTTTCCCATTCCGGGGTCAAAAATTGGGGTCCCCATCGAAAATTTCACATTTTACGCTGAAATAACTTTGAAAATTAAGGTCGAAGTCAGATCCCTCTGAGAAAATCGTCCATCCCGGAACTTTTGACGGACCCTATATGTATGTTTATAAGTACATATGTACTATAGAATCTCCAACTAATCTCTCATCCGCAGCTACCTTTACGCTGGCTCTCCATTGAGGCAATTCGCGACAATGTGTACTCGAACAAAAGTGACATCTGGGCATATGGTGTCGTTTTATGGGAAATTGGCACCCTGGGCGCTTCGCCATATCCTACTATCAGCAATCATGAGCTGATTCCATATTTGGTGTCCGGTAAACGACTGGAAAAGCCAGAAATTTGCACTGATCAAGTCTATGCTATTATGACGCAATGCTGGGATGAAAATCCAGAGGAGCGACCAACTTTTGCCGAGCTCTACAAGGCTCTAAGCCCACGCACGGCTTACGTTGATATTAACAGTCTGAGTGATGATTACGTCTTTCCACCTATTAGTAATTAAATTTACACTAAGTATATACATATGTATACAATAAACTATAAAAACAAAAAAAAAACAAAAACACAAATACTTAGGAGATTTAGCATAGAATAAGCTGTGTATGTAAAGTATATATATAAATACATACTTTTATAAAGTGTTAATTAATATGATGTATTAATTATTGTAATTATTAGAAATTAAGTAATTTTTACCGTCTACTAAGAATAGTTTCATGTGCGTAATTTATAATATGTTGGTACAAGCAAGTGCGAAATAATGACATAGTATTGTATTTAATAAAACCAAAGGCATTTTAAAATAAATATGTATGTACATATCACACAGAACTAAAATAAAACTTGTACTCGTATTTATGTATGAAGAAAAAAAGAATAATATGTACGTAAATCGAGATACCAAAATGTATATTACAATACCAAATACTGCTCGTTTTTATAAGGTTCGCCCAGGTTTACTCATGCCAAGTGTAAACAGACCCTTCTGCACTTGAGCATTGCATTGGGAACCTTATATTTGAAATGGAAAAGTATTTGCATCACAAATAATCGGTCCTATTATGGTTGTCGACGTCGATGTCGATGTAATTTTTTCATCAAAAAATAGCCCTCATCAGTCCAACTTCGGTTTCGCCGACCACAGTAGTTTTACGAGGAACACCTTTCCGCAAAAATACTGGGGTCGGCGTAGCTGGCATTTGACTTGCGAGGTCTATTTTTTGACAAAACATTCGTTATCTGTTCTCTTGGATATACAAGGTGCTCTACAGGAACTCGGACTCCGCAACTCTCTGCCAGCGTTGGTTAACAATCTCTTCCGAAATCGGGTCATCAACTCAGAACTACTTATGACACTCCTATGTCAAAAGGATGCAGTAAGGGTGACTACCTAAGCGGCTGTGCTCTCACCTCTACTATGGAAAATTTCCATTGGCAGCTTGCTTAAAAGAGGCAGAAATAAGGCGCGTTAGGGCAGTAGCTTACGCCGATCAGATAGGTCCATTCAATACCAAAAAAAAAAAAAAGAATTGAAGAATTTTTACCATTACTTGCAAGTTTTTACTGGAAATGCAATAACCCAAAAAATTTGCAAGAGAGAGCGAGTTAGAGAACGTAACAATCCGCTGAAAAAAGCAAATCCTGTAAAACCTGCAAATCGTGAAGAATCTGGAACGCAACTAATACTACGTTCAAATTGACGAGCTAAACATGTTAAATGGGCTTAAACAGTTAAATGAACAAAACATGTTCATAAACAAGTTAAATCGCATGCAATTGTTGTTGGAAAATTGAACCAGTTAAATCATTTAATTCGTTTGAAAACCAGTTCAGCACAACTCTGCGCTCCGATCAATCAGAAAGACCCAAAAGCTTTCATTTGACACGCCAACGTTCAAAAAATTTATATTCTGAAAAATATTAAAAATTATCAAAAATTATCAAAATTGTATGCATGTCTGCCCGCCAAAAAAGAGGCAAAGGCGGTAATTAGTTATTTCCAACCAATAGTGCATACGAACTAAACATTTTGAAGTCTCTAAGTAATCCTCTCTCGTCTCAACATAGAAGTGGCAATCACCTGCCCTCGGATGTGGGCAAGGTCCTCATAACACCCAACATCTCTTCACATGCACCAGAAGCACTCCGGACTGCGCCTATCAATGCCGCCAACTTACTCGTCCTCCGGCTTGCAGAGTCAGAGGATGAAGATAATGACAGAACTTGAGGGTTTGAGAACTGCTGCCATCACAACAACAACAGCGGTAGGCTCAGGAAACGTGGAATTTCGACGGCGTCGGGCCAAAGGGAGAAACTAAAGCTATATAAAGAGGAAAATTACCAACAAAAAGTAAATAATCTTCAAATGAAATAAAACGCTAAGTGGATCAAGTGCGGGATTACTGTCGGACTGTATACTGTGAAGTGAATTATTGTAATACGATATAAAAATTTATATTTATATTCTGCTATGTAAGTCGTTTCAGCCATAAAGGTAAATGTTATTTTACTATTTCAATTTTAGTATTCAATGATATGTTTGAGACCAATTGGAGAATCAAATTGGAGTTCAAGTTGAGAACTAGTATATTTTTAAATTGAGAAACAGTCTTATTTTCATACAAAGAAATGCCCTTTTCGTAGAGAACGCTAAGATCCTCCATTTGAGGTACCGTTGAGAAACAAAGTTAGAGATATGAGAAGAGCCTTAGCTCTCAAGTTAACCTCAAGTTGAGCTGAAACCAAAACGAACATTTTTTAATTATCGATAGCATTTGTTTCGTACAATCACGAATTAGTATCGATATTTGTACTTTAAATCTTAGCGTGCTTGCAACCCTGTATGTCTAATGTTTACGAAAGATATCAAAGGGAAAATTTAAACGTCATCTTTTCTTCTCCTTTGTTTTGCCGCGTATTTGTTTGAAAATATTTTTGTGAATAAATTTTCAAATCTTCTTTATATATATATCTCCAGGTTAACTAAAACGTAAGAAGTACATGCGGTTTAAATTGTTCCCAAATGCAATTGGAATCCAACGATTTACGAGCAGCCAAACGAATACTTGCCAAACTAGTCGATGACGCACTGCTGGAGTACGAGCGTAATTTGGCTGATTTAGATGAAGATTCAGGTAGGTTTCCAGCGGTTCTAAAAACCCTAACTAACATCCTTTAATTGATATAGATTTGGAAGCACTACTGAATCACCTATTCCTGCAACTCAAATCACTTTTGGGAGATATTCTTGTTGAAGCTTTGAGCATTTTGGACGAGCAAAGTATTCAAATATATACATATGAAAATAGTGAGCTTGCGGAAATACAAATAAGGCGTCAGCAGTGCAAGAGCTCAATTTGGTTGTTTCCACGCGTCAACTACTGTACTTGTACTCAATTCAAAGTGGGTGTGTTGGGATTAGCAGACGAATTGCAAACAGCGAGCCAAACTTCTCACAGTGAAAAATTAGAAAGAAGAATTACTTGTGCACACGTTTTGGCATTGCGTCTGGCACAGTTGTTGCACCCATCTCCTTCAACTTTCAAAGTGGAGTCAGTGTCTGAGCAACAATTTAAGAGTCTACAAGAACGAATGCATATCAGTTTTATAGAGATACACGCAGAAGATAGCACGGATTGACAATAATCGAATGCAACATTCAAAAACTCTTTATGAGAAAGGCATCTTAAAGAATATAAGGATGTTAACACAACGGCAGTACTCGAATTTTAAATTCGTGGCACGTTTGGATCATATCAAGACTTTCTATACAGGCATTAAATCATTGAATTTTGAAAATGTAAGTATCCAAATGTACTTGAATTACAAATGCAGTATATTCAATATTGCCTCGAACAGAATGGAAAATTCCAAATTAGTGAAGACGGCGTACGTGTCACAGTAGAAGAAGGCCAATGTGTGCAAGCCAATTTGTATATGACCGCTTCATGCTTTGCTGAATTTCACGTTGTAGATATGGTGACTTTTGGCATAAACATGAATATCATATCCGAGTGTTTGGGTCTCTTTGCTGGCGTTCCTTGCAGCTTAAAAATGTTCTACAAAGGTCATGGAGCACCACTTGTGCTAGTGCTGCGACCCAACGACGAAGCTGATATTTCTGCAGAATGCTCCATCAAAACAACCAACGTTGATGATGTAATCGATTACAATCTTGACGAGAACAGTTCTAGTTTGAATGTCGTCTTTGTGAGGGGCCCGTCGTTAGCGCATCTCTTTCAAGAGTTAAATAAAGCAGCAGACGAGTTGAGAATTACTTTATCGCCACGACAACCACATTTTAAAATCGAAACATTAGGTGTGGTGAAAACCGAGACGTTTGTTGAAGTAGCCAAAACTAGTGATATGATGATGTTATTCAATTGTCGGGAGACTACATCGGCATGTTATCGTAATACTGAGATACGTCTGACTCATAAAGCTTTGGCGGCCGCCACTAAGGTAGCAATAAAAACAGACTCAAGCGGTTTATTGGAAATGCATTTCATGATGCAATCCGAAGAACAGGCGGAGGTGTATGTACAGTTTTATATAATGCCACTAGCAGATGTTTGAGTTCCTTCGCGCTGCTTCTTTAAGGTATCCAATGTAGTGAAGTAAATGTTTTTGTTTAAAACCGTTCTAGGTTAAAGCTATTACTCATGCAAATATTTGTTAATTATATTTGTACTAATTTAATTTTAACTCTATTCATTTTTTTTTTTAATTCTTACGATGGAGTATAGAACATTCCAGAAAGTTTTTGAAAATAGCAGGTTAATTAAAAATGTTACGAAGGTTTTTAGTAATTTTTCCCGAATAATGCTGGATTTTCACTCGGTATTAAATGGAAAAAATGGCAAATGACAAAGTCGGGCGTTAAAAAAATCGTGTCATTACATTAAAGAAATGGTCATTAAGTTCATTTCCACATGGCATTTTTTAAAAGGCATACACTTTTTGTCATTTTAATGGCTAGTGGAAATTCGGCATAAACCACGATTACACATTCAAGCTTTAAAAGATAATCTTTTTTAAAACTTCGCATGTTATACAAACTCATTTGCTACCTGTTATTATTATAACGAGCGTAAATCACGTTTAAAGAGTTGCTTTTACCTGCCATCATTTAACAATTTCGGTATATAAGCAGAAGTCCTTTACAGAAGGTTCATTTGTTTTCGAAGTGTAGTAATAACAAAACATATTTTAAAAATATGTTTCACCAAGTGTTTAGTTTTTGTATGATGTTAATATTTTTGTGCTGGCGATCTTTCGTAATTGCGCAGAGTGGCCATTCAGATGAGGAAATGATACAACTGGCGGATTTATTAGGTTTAAGTCCGGCTAGTGCACGACTCAAAAGGCAGCCATCGCTGAGGTGAGTTGTTAGGACAATTTCGTGGTTATTTGATGTACATTTAATTATAATTTACTTTCCAAATTACAGTAATTCAGCCACAAAATTTTTGCTTGAGGTTTACAAAGAAATAAGTGATCAAGGAGATTCGCCCGAAGTCGAGCAACAGACGAGACACCGACGTGCAGTTGCTGATGAAAACTTTATAACAGCTTTTGATCGTAGAGAGATAGAACTCAGCAACAACATAATCACATTTGCTAGTAGACGTAAGTGTATCTTTGTTGCAAATTTATTTTTTCCAAACTGATTTACCTTCTCGTTTTCCTACAGCCACACCTTTCACAACAAATTCGGCACTCTCCGGTGATATGCTACTCAATTTTAATTTAAACGATATACCATCCGATTTGGAGTTAATCCACGCAGCAGTACGTTTATATCAAGATCCCCAAGTAGGCAGGCACGGCATGAGTGCGCTGGCGTCGCAACAACGTAACTTTACCATTTCTCTATACCAGCCAGTTGGTCAATATTTGCTTGCCGTTGCCGCTATAAACGCCAGCACTGACTTCAGAGGATGGCTGGAATTGAATGTAACCCATTTATTCAACAATTGGCTACATTTCCGTACACTGCAGCAGACGCTTTATGGCAATGAAGTACTTGTTGGCGTCACATTGCATTCGCCGCTTGTGGGAGCAGCTGCATCCGCATCAGCGGCTGATGTGGGATTAGTACCAGCGCATACGCAATCTGATAGCCTTGGTTTGCAGCCCTTCATAATAGGTTACTTCAATGGTCCCGATTTGATGACGAAAATGAAAAAGCGTTCCACAAAACAACATACACGTCGAGAGCGTCATGTTGACGCCTTTGGACATAAACCGCCGCCATCAATGTCGCGTTTTACACATCCGGAGGCAATCTACGAGCAACCAAAAGCTTGTGAGCGCCGCAATTTTACATTGGATTTTAAATACTTGGGCATGGAGAAATCCGTTATTGCTCCAAAGACTTTCGAAGCTTACTTTTGCTTGGGTGAATGCAATTTCCCCTTGGGTACGCCCATGAATAATGCTACTAATCATGCAATTGTACAGACATTGATGCATCTGAAGCGACCAAATCTACCCAAACCATGTTGTGTGCCGATTAAGCTGGCCTCTATATCAATACTCTATTCCGTTAATGAGGATAGCGTAAATTTGATGCGTTTCTCGCAAATTGTCGCCAAGGAATGTGGATGCCGTTGAAGATGGGAAGGTACATATAAAATTATATTAATTTAAAATAATGTGGATGAAGCTTACAACTGCAATGTACAAATGCTTACATAGATATATATGTATATATTTAATATTGTAAATTTTTACAATGAACAAAATGAGATTTTGTCTTGCTTAAAAATATGTTCTAAAGATGAAATTTAAGTATGTGCGTGTGTGCAAACATATAAAAATGAATTAACAACAATTTGCTTGGTCTGATTGTCCTTGGGGTAAGAATACTCAAAGTATAAATTGAAACAAGCTCCTAAACTTCGTAGAACTGCTAATATATACATAATTTGGAAAACTCAGGCAAAACAATTAAATAATTTAATTTCGTGACTTCTTCCGATATAAGATTGTTTTCATTTAAGTTCTGCAGTCTAGAAATCATGAGAAGATTATCAACATATCCCGGAAAATTTCACTAGTTCTTCAAATCTAAAAAGTATCAACCGCTTCATCATCAGCTTTGAACATATGTACATATACTGCCTTTCGAATATTCGAATTGTTTTAAGTTCTTGTAGGTTTATGAGTTCCACGAGTAAAATCATTCAATAACTATAACAATTTTATAGACCTAAGAATAAGAATTGCACTTTAAAATTGAACTAAGCTCAAAAAGGCACTAGCGCAGAAAAGTTTGTAACATAAAATACGAACTAGTAACGACGACTTTTTCTTTCCCCATATCAGTTAGCATCTTAGCACACACTTTATCCAATCGGACATTTCAATTTCGATAACATTATCTTGATTATGGTCCTTGCGTTGAAAGTAGTCGAATGCGGCAGTCAAATGCAGCACTGCCGAGGCGAAATCACTCAATCGCAAAGTGCCATCTTTCCGAATATAGCGTTGCATCAGACAGTTCATAATCTCGGTGCTTAACTGGAATCCGACATCATAGAGCGCATCACGCAATCTTTCGGCACGTAAAACACCCGCCTTTTCCTTTGTGTAAATTTTAAATACACCTTGCCATGATTTCAAATTTACCATAAACGTTTTGAATTGCAGGAAGTTGATGCGACCGGTGCCAGTCTTGTCTTGCAATGCAATCACCTGACGACAGATATCGATGTTGGCACAACCTTTGATGTAATCGTTGGGCAAACACGCCTCCAGCAGTTCGTGTAGTTCAAAACAGTTGATTGTTTTATTCTCGTCTGCCAGCTGCATGAACACTGGCTCATATTGGCATACATTTTTGATTTTAGTTGTTTCAACTTCGTTCTTGAGTGCTGGGAAGGGGTCTAGTAGCATCATGGTTTGTGTTTCAAGCAGCGATAGACGCAAAGGAGCAGTACCCAAGAAGCGTACAGTGAAGCTAGACTCTTCGCCAGGCTCGTATGTGGTTGGCATGAGCACATATTGGCCTACTTCCAGCTGACAGCGATAGCTGACGTGCCTTGTGTTGCCGTAATCGGAGTTCAGGAAGCTAACCTGGGTTTTGAAGAACTCTTTGGGCAGGCATTCGCTGAACTTTCCCTTGCCGCCATTCGCTGCACCACTTAATTTGTACATTGAAAATCCTATGACTTTTGGTTCAACAGCTGTGTGTTGATTTAAAGCCACCACAATTTCCTGCTTTTCTTGAATATTCAACAGTAGTTGTGGATTTATGTGAAATGATTCATGATTTCGGCAACCACCTGCTGTGACACCACGCTTCCATTGGCCCTGGAACATTTTCATTTGCCAACGCTTTGGTCGATCTTGTAATGTGAGCTCGTCTTTGGCTGTATCGGCGTCAAGATAGATGCATTCGAGGCTGGTGTACGTCTGTGTGAATTCAAGGAAAGACATCCAGAATTCACCAACGTCGAGTTGGCCAAAGAGGCGGTCACGTTCTTGCACCGAAACACGCTCCCACGATGGAGACATTGCTGACCAGTCGCCTTCAAATGTAGCATTGTTATCGAAAGCGTTGCAGGAAAGTGGATCTTTCAAACGCACCAACTGCACTGCATCTCCCAACAGCGTTTCCACTTTGTCCAGAGACGAAAGTCTGCCCAAAACAAAAATAAATATATATCAATGATTTCAAGAAACGGTTTTAGCAATTCTATTGGTGTGCACTAAATTGTACGATACGTATTAGTACGGCAATACAAGTCCGCCTACGCACTCGCTCACTCACCTGTAGTTGACATTGAACGTAATGCCATTCGCTAGTCGCTCAGATGTATTTTTGTGCTGTCCAGCAGCAGCGCCGCCAGCAGCAACAATGCAAGTAACAATGCAGGTGGTTTCCAGATGTGATTTCAGTTGCTGCGGTCTCAGCATATCTGTAGCATTGGTGCCCGTTTTAAGGGGTATGCACTCGACTACACCACCAAGCAGATCACTGAGACCATCGGAACGTGTGCCATATTTTAGTGCTTCATAAGATCCATGCAATTTGGCAATAGCCTTTTCCAGCAGTGAAGCCCAATAACAATGCGAGGCTTGTGGCTGCAAAAATGCGAGACGACCATTTATTGTGGGCAGGCGATCGTCCACAAGCACTTCCACCCACTCGCCGCACCACCAAAGTCGAAAGCGAAAAACACCGTTTGCTTTGTCTAGACTTTGATCTGCAGGCACCACGCGGTAGAATAGATTGCGTAGCGAATGCAACACGCCCAGGCATGACACCAACCAACGATCGCCCATTTTTCCAGGAATGACGTCAAAGTTCTCACCTTCATTTACAAAGCACGCCTGCTGTGCATCGGCGAACTCTGCAATGCGGCGCCACTGGAAAGTGAATGGTGGAGTTTGGTAATAGAAAACTGATGATTGCACAGCTGCGAAATCTGGGTCCTCCCACAGGACTTTGCGCGCGACACACTCAGCTTTGATACGCTCATATCGTGAGGTCATTGTGATGTGTTACAATTTCACAAACACCTGTTGACTTCATGCAATTAACAAATACTACGAAGTGCCACCGCGACCACTTGTTGCTGATTTATTGTGTGCTCCTATAAATCCAATTGGAGGTAGTGCAACAACAAGCACATTTAATTTTAATACTCCCTGTAAGCAAACACTTGGCTTCTTGCAGATCCACACATCAACTTTTAATAAATAGTTTATGGACTAGCCGCTACAAAATTGGTAAGAATTCTAATATTCTTAACGCGTACGCCTTATTTTTGGAGTTCTTTTCCGTTGACCTTGTTTGATTGAATTCCACAATCAAGTCGATATCAAATGTGCACACACGGCGGATTCGACAACAAAGTGAAAGTTGAAACAAAAAAATTAAAGCAGAAACATGGAAGAGGAAAAGAAAACAAACTGGTGTAAAATATTGGGCAAAATGTGCGCCTGCGCAATTGGCTAAAACGTAAACTGCAAATAAACACAAAATACAACTACAACATGCTGGCTGAAATTGAGAATAGTAGAGAAAGGAGGAACTGGCAAAAATAGGCAGGGTTGCATTTGCAATATAGTAGAAGAAGTCTTCAAGGGCAGTTTTATGCAAACATTTTTATAAAAAATTTATTGTTTAAATGTTCCCATAAAGTCTCGGTTACGAATTGGTTTATTATTTTATTTTAATGTGTACTGTAAAATCATGTATTGGTAATGTTAAAGAGCGAAAAACACCGCACAAGCGTCTTGTCAAACATAGCGAAAATTCCCTTTAGCTCAAACATGTTGTGTGGTGTATAGGGGGTGCTTTAGGGTTTGACAAGCTGTTTGAGGGAAATTGAACAAAAATTGAATTTTTTTTATTTTTGACCGTCCTGTTGAAATTTGATCAAACCGCTTGTGTTTGGTATGGATGGCATCATTTGCAAATTTTCACCGGAAGAAAATTAAAATTATCCGCATGAACGAGCCTTGTTTGTATGATGTATGGCGAAACGGGAAAAGTAGGTTTGAAGTATGCTTGACAAGCTGTTGGTGTGGTTTGTTTCGCTCTTTAGTTATTGCCCACTGTTTTTGTGTTAGACGGTGATTAGACTGCGTTTATACACGGAAACTTTTGTCGACGCGATTTTTCACATTCCCTGTTGGTGTTGCTCATTTCATTTACACACGACGATTTTTGTGTATGCAATTGTTGTTGTCAGCTGTGAATCGCTAACTCAATTTACACAGACGAACGAGAGCACAAAGCGTGTTGCCCGAGCACGAGCAATTCGGTGCCCCTCTCCATTCCTCGTCACGCTCTCTCCTACAAACGTCGAGTTGCGGCAACAAAAATCGCCATGTGTAAATGAGCACTTAGAGACGGGTGGCGGGCAGGGTTGCCACTGACGAAAAAAAATATTTACCATCGACTTGAAAAAAATCTACCAAACGTGGGAAATATCTACCAATAACTGTTTTATAATTATTTTAATAAAAACTATAGTTTTATTATTTTTTTATTTATTTTAATTAAAACTATAGTTTTTATTTTTAGTTATTTCAATAAGAATTAAAATTGATCTTAAGAACGTTTTATTTAACTAATTATAAGGTATTTGGGTCGTATTATTGGCATATTCTCAGTTTCCTTCAACCAAAAGCGGAAGTGATGAAACTAGAGGCAACAATGAAACTTTATTATTTGAAAAAACTTCAACTCGAGTTATTATAGACAAATACAGTGACTCAAAAAAGTGATTTTTTTTAATATTCGCAATATTTTTCGAGTAAAAATTGTTTGCTGCTTTAACTAAATCCATAAAAATCGAGGATTCAAACTATATACAACATATAGAAAAATTCCAAAAATTTTGGTCTAAATTTCGAATTTTTTACTCAGAATTTTTAGAACAATTTGAGGTATGGAGTTTTAAAGCAAATACTATTTGAGTATAGCCAAAAATGTGCTGCTTAAAATTCTCATTGATTTTTTTTATTTTTTTCCATTGATAAAAAATGGCGTTGATTTAATTCTTGTTGCGAACAATCATGGTGCGTAATTACATACCTGTAAATTTTTTCTATATATTTAAATAATCATATAAAATATTTGGGCAATCAAAAGTTCCTCGGGATTACAGTAAAATTAGTTTTGAATGGAGCGCGATATGTTCGCCTTATATAGATATACATTTATACGTATGTAATGCAAAGAAATTTATAATATATTTAAAGATAACTACGAACAATAAATCGGGAACGGAAAGTTCATCAAAAATCTACCTAAATGAGAAAAAATTTACCTTTTTACCAACCCAAATTTTTTCTACCAATTTTGGTAACAATT